GGCATCAGAATAAATGCCGAATATTATCGCGAAAATATTCTGGAGGGTGTATTAAAGTCTTGGGCATGCAAACATTTTGGCCGCATACCTTGGACATTCCAACAGGACTCAGCGCCATAGCACTCAGCACGCGCCACCCAAGAATAGTTAAAAAATAAGGTTCCTCGCTTCATTTCAGCGCACAATGGCCACCAAAATCTACGGATACCAATCCGATGGACTATTGTGTCTGGAGTATTTTGGAAAGCAAGATTGGCACTAAAAAAAGTTGACCAATTCGAACAAATCTAAACTTATTCTAAAATTTGATGCTATTTCCCATATTATGGCTATTGAATTTGTTTCAGTTTTTTTATCTCACCCTGTATATATGTTTCATTCGATTTAATATTTAAGTATTTTCAATGCTTAATGTGCACTCCTTATACCCTCAACCATATGGTATATATCATTTGATACGGTCAAAACGTGCCTAGTCGAAATAACGATTTTTAACCCCAGGTCTCTTTGGAACAAATCCGTTTCAGAACATTTGGAGTCGATTTAGCGATACCCGTCCGTCCGTCCGTCTGTCAGTCTCGAACGGAGTATTTGATTTGGTCCAAACTTGGTACAACGTAATATTTTTGTCAAACTTAGATCGAGTTCGGAGATGGACAATATCGGTCCATTCCTTCTGATAACTCCTCCACAAAATGTCAAAATTTTCAAAAAAAAAAATCTGCAAAGCAAGAGAAATGATAATCCGAGTTTGCTCCAACTTTGAAAATCGTAATATTTCGATCAGTGCTAGGTCAGGTGCGAACATGGACAATATCGCTTCACTCCATCAAGTACCTCCCCCACAAATGGTCAAAATTTTGAATAATTACAACTCTTATAAACTGTGATGTAAGAGTCCGATTACCTTCAAATTTCACACATCCCAATATTTGTATTAATCCAAGGTCTGGTGTTTAGATGAAATATATCGTTCCACTCCTTCTGGTACCTCCCCCACAAGAGGTTGAAATATTCAAAAGATATATTTTCTGCACAGAATGGGAAAATATAATCCGATTTTGATCTACCTTTGCAAATCCTAATATTTGCGTTAGTGCCAATCCAGATGCGAAAATGGACAATATCGGTCCACTCCATCCAATACCTCCCCCACAAAGGGTTATAATTTTGAATAATTATAACTCTTAGAAAATGTGATTTAAGAGTTTTATTGTCTTCAAATATCACATATCCCGATATTTATATTAGGCCAAGGTCTGGAGTTAAGATGGAATATATCGGTCCACTCTTTCTAGTACCTCCACCACAGAAGGCCAAAATTTTGAATATTCATGAAGCTCATAAAACGCGAAATTAACATCCGATTCCATTCTGGCTTGACACATCTCAATATTTCCATCAACACAGGATATGCTATAAAAACGGACCATTCCTGCTGGTATCTGCCCTAAAAAGGGTCAAAATTTTTAATATCTTTATATTTCACTCGTCCCACACAAAATATGTTGTGAAGGTGGGATATTTCGGTCCACTTCTTCTTGTACCTCTCCCACAAAGGCTTGGAATTTTGAATATCCATGAAGCTCACAAAAAACGAAATTAACATCCGATTCCGTTCTAGACTCTCCCTAATATGCATGGTCGTGTAGGCTATCATGCAGTTGATAACGACCGTCTTAAGACCCTTCTTTACTGGCTGTATTTTTCTTAAGAGTATTAGATATTCAACATTTAATACAACAAAGTGTCAATTATGTGGGTCAATTTATTCAAAGGTCTAACCCAAAAAAAAAAATATTTTACCTTTAAATGCCTAAGAAGAGAATATTTAAATATATTTGTTTCATACATATACGTATGAATATTGTAACAAAACTACAGATGTAAGAGGGTGCACACACACATATACCAACACAGCTTGGGAAGAAAAACAAAAATTGAAACTATCGATAACGCATAATATTTTCTCACATAAAAATTCATAGAAATTTCCTCATAAATGCTACATTGGACGGACGATCGAACCGACGGACAAAGGGACGGACGAGATACGTCAAAAGCAAAGTGACACAAGAGCCGTAAAATATTCAATGGAACAAAAATTGATGTGAATTGAACATTTAAGCAAAATCGTCATCGTCATCGCCATCAACATCATCATCGATATCCTTTTGTGGAAAAAAGGTCATAAGGACAATTGTGAATAAAATATTTATGTATATTCATATGTGTGGTTGGTGTGTCTATGGTAGCATTGTATTTATGTACGTATATGTTTAGGAGTGTAAATATGATAATCTGAATGTGTATATTTATTTGTTTATTATGAGATATGGCCGAAAAAAGTAACGGAATGACAGGCGTACAATTATAATATATATTATCAGGTTATGTTTATTGGATCGTATTGTATTATTTGTGATTATATTATTGGCAAGGCAGGTGAAGATGAAGAAGAATTATTGTAACAACATTTCTTGTTAAAGGGCAGAATGGTATTCGCGGAAAAAATCTGCAATAATATGAAGAAAAAAAGGAGTGGCTTTACGCAAAGCAAAGCGATTCAACATATTTCTTCCCAGATAAAGAATTTTTAACTTACAATTTTTGTTTCATAAAAAAAAAAAATTATTTCAAGTAGATCATACCACCCATCAACATTTGGCTTAAGAGCTTAAGAGTTTGCTATAGAGGGCATGATATATATAGTTTTTGCAGTTTTCTCATCTCACCCTGTATATACTTTATGGGATATACGACAAAAATTTAGGGATGTTACAAACGGAATGACAAAGTCTTTGTGGAGGGTGACGTATCTTTTAGTACATATTTCCAACTAAATATGTGAACCCAACACCACAAAAAATAATCGTTATAATTTAGTTTCCAACTCAATTCCTTCCCTAAATGCCAAATTTAGTACCATTTAGTACTTTTCGTACTTTTTATGTTGTTCTGAAGGTAGTTTTAGAAATATGTAATAAAAAAGAACGAAAGGTATTAAATGGTACTAAATTTGGCATTTAGGGGAAGAATAGAGTTGAAAGTAAATTATAACGATTATAGTTGGAAATACGTACTAAAAGATACGAAACGTACTAAATGTTGCGTATGTTTGGTATTTGGGGAAGGAGAAGAGCTAGTAATCTGAAATTTGGAATGAGAGTATTTGATATTGTGTACAATAGATGTATCGAAGGTTTTATAGAAAATTTGAAGTGTAAGTGTACGAAAAGTACTGAAAGGTACTTATTTTGTACCATAATGTTTTAAAGAAATGCTTTACGGGAAGTAAAGGTGGGAAATGTGGTGGTTTAAGTAGGTGTTTTGGAAATGCAAACTAAAATGTACCGATCGTACTAAATTTGGAACAAATTGGTTTTGAATGATTGAACAAAGGCGGAACTTTGAAGATGTAAATGTGTACGGTTGAAAAAAAGCGGTCGTTAAAGAAGTGCGTTTTATGAATAAAAGTGAAATTATGAATTTTATAAGAACGGCTCACTCAGCGTCTGAAGGATTTGGACTAAGGGGGTGCTTTCGGAAGGTACCTCTCGGCAAGGTACCAAATGTTCTTGTCCATTTAACGGTTCTATCAGATATCCCTCAACACAACAGAGACCCCTGATTTTGACTGAAATTCCCGCTGAATTTCCCGCTTCCATGCGGGAATGGGTCCAGATTTTCGCATTTTGCCTATATAGCTACAGTTTTAGAATTTCGGTATATAGGGCTTTTGTTTAAGTAGAAATTTGGGGTTATTCTACACTCTATGACAATTTGTTTCGTTTTAAAATTCAAACCAATACGTCCTAATATGCATACTTACGTTGTGTATTATCAAAAAACTATTTATGTTTCAAATATGTATATGAACGAATGCGAATGATAACTATCCGTTTATTGTTGCGAATTCCATCACCATTTATTCGGGTGATTGCTTTTATGTTTCGTTTGTTTTAAATATCGATTAAAGCTTACAATTTTTGTTTTTTTTTTTTTGGTTTTTTTTCTCATTCAATGCTCTTAAATTGTAATTATTTTGTACAAAAGATGAATGTCAACGGCAATTCAAAATCAAAATCACTGAAAGGCATTTCTACAGAAAATCCAGTCGAACTATGTTTGAAAATAAATTGAATGCTTTATCGATATTATAGTTCAAACAAAACCCATTGAATGAGTGCCACATTATTTATGTGTGTCACTGAGTTATGTTTTCGAAAAAAATTCTGCGGATGACTGTCATACTTTATGTGTGTTAGTGATAATATTTGATTTTTTTTATTAAATATTAAAACTTGTTGCGGAACCACAAAATTCTAAGTCCCAAGCAAAAAAAAAATTTGCGTGGAGGGTACTTAGGAGAGGCATATTTTTGCATCGTGGAAGCCTCTAACCACCTTAAAATTGAGCCCAGTTTTAGTTTTTTTTGGGCGTTGTGTGTATATTCATGAAAAAGGCACTTGCTGAGGGTAACCTTCAAATGACGACAATGGTTAGCCATGCCTGTAAAACAGACACTTGATGCGGGTAACCTTTAATTGTGGTCAGGGTTAGCCATGCCATTAATTTAGTAAAGGAAATGCTGACCATTTAATGGGAGGATGCAGGGGGATACTTTAAAAAACCCAGCACTTTATTCACGCGTTGCGATGTAGAAGCCATCAACCTCTGTCGGCAGAACAATTTACGTTCCTAAAGAAATGAAGAATTGATCTACCAAAAGTTTGTGGGGCTTCCTTCACACAGAAACATGCGGCAAAACCTGAAACGAAAAGAAAAATATATATATTAGTAAAAATAAAGATAATATTTGTTTGGACGTGATAGAAGAATGCCGCAGCAGCTCGGTTATGAAAATGCCTTTTGTTCTTTGTTTACATTCTTATATTCGTCATTTGACAGCAGGCTATCGCGTTGCCAACGAAATGTTTTGATAGCAATGTATTATCAGCACAATGGCGGAATATGCATTCTTGGGGGAGACCAAATAATTGAAGGCTTTCTGAATAAAGAGAAAAACCTATGCATAAGGGTACCGCCCAGTGAAAGGGACAAATACTAGGGATAAAACAAGGATAACAATAAGGGATAGATCAATATGTCGGTTAATGGAAAGCTGCCATTTTTTCTCTCTAAGCTTATAAATATGTGTTAAAACCAGAGAACGGGGATTTTAAGTATTGGTGCTGAGTGAGAAACTTTAACTTCTCTGTGGGAATAAAGTACAAAGTTTTTGCGAAAATTATAAAGTGAATTTAAATATAATAAAAGCGATATCTGCCGAATATTGATTTGATTAAAGTAAAGGTAAAATAAGAAAATAGTGTCTTACGAACGAAGAAGTTGATTTTTTACCGTGTAAAATAGGTGACTATCGCAGGGTGTTGTTATAAATAAAGTGGTCAAAGTCCAATTTTATCCTCAGACGCATTATTGAACCAGCAATCAAGAAAGGTAATGTGCAGATTTTGGCGTTTAATAAGTATAGAGTAATGGTAAGACATGGTTTGTTTCCTTTAGGCCACCAGAAACCTTGTTTGTTGGACGGAAGTGTCGTAGAGGAAATATAGCCACTAAAATAGATTACCCAAGTAGAAAGCCGAAAAAAGGTAGGACATTAGTATTGCCAATTACCTTAGGGAGCAAAGCCCACTGCCATCTAGTGGAAACACCCGAGCTGACAAAAACTTTGCAAAAGCTCAGTACCAGAACTTTACCAGAGAATATATAACTTTGTGCCCGAGCGAATTCACGTATAACAGTTATAATTCGCCGAAGTACCTCTGCCACAGTCAGTCCCGTATAAAAAGACTGGCATTTGGTTATGTGACGACCGATTGAGATCAAAATAATCATATCCAGTTAAAATCGTCAAAGAAAATAATTTTCATAAAGTATATTTAGTTTCTAAGTGTATAACGTATTGTATGATTTATTTATATTTTGCTTTGCATGTTTTATTTTATTTTTTTTTATCCAAATTGACTATTTTTATTTGAGTGTAAATGATAACGTTTCCTTTTTCCTGTTTGGAAATACCTACAATTCCCTCGTCTAGTTTACGTCGTATTTGTTTCACATTAGGAACCACAATTGTGCATCTGGTGATATAGTTGATCCTAAGCCATAGGTTGTCTATAATAGAGCTCTATTAGGAAATCTAGGTTATTGGAGTTTATTGAGCATAGTCCACTGATAAGGACGTAGTTTTGCAAAATATTGTGGGTTCTAATAGACCAGTTGGTCAATCGTTCTGTTTATCAAGATTTCTTTTATTTGGTTCAAAGAACCTTTCGAAATTCCTCTGGTCATAGAGAAGATACTATAAAAAAGAAGAACATCAAACTATATTTTATTAATTTTTTTGTTCTATATTTTATTGTGTTTCAGTTTTTTTTATTAATTTTCAACAGTAATAATTAAGGAAAAAGGATACCTAATCATATAATAAAATCAACATTTTTCAATAAATATAATGTGAATCTGTAGACAATTAGAAATATGAGAGTTTAACTGAAAAGGAAAGGAGGAAAAGGATGATGAGGTGAGTGGTGGTACTTCCAGTGGTAATAGGGGTCATCAAGGCAAGATCGGTAGGATGACTATGGTCGGGTGGGCGGCTAAGTTTGACTCTGAACCCGGAGTCCAGAGTTTTGATGGGAGAAGTTAAAGTAAATTATCGATAGGAATAGACCAAATCGATTGTGTACGTTCCTGGGCTAGAGATGTCGGGATGGAACCTGCCCCAAGAGAGTCGGCAGAGTTAGTCGGCGATATAGAGGCATCGTTCTGGCTCCGCTTAAAAGGACACGTAACAAACTTTCGTTTCATTTTGAAACAAATATGAAAGTCATAAAATTTATTTATTCGGAATTTTTAATTATGTTTCAAAACTTTAATCTTAGATGAGAGAGCTTAAAACTAACATTTGAAAAAAGATTCCATCGCTGTAAAAATTAAAATTTTGGGTGTGAAATTTTTTTAAGACTTTAAAACATATGTATACCCTCAGCCAAATGGCTAGAGGCTCAAAAAGTGCCTAGTCGAAATAGCGGTTTTAGACCCTGGGTCTCTTTAGACCAAATCTGTTTCAGAACATTTGGAGTCGATCTAGCGATGTCCGTCCGTCCGTCTGTCTGTCCGTCTGGCTGGCTGGTACGAACGATAAATTTCGAAAGGAGTATCCGATTTGCTCCAAACTTGGTACATCGTAATTATTTTTTTCAAACCTAGATCGTGTTCAGAGATGGGCAAAGGCCGAAATTTTCCAAAAATATATTTTCTTTACAGACAAAGAAATGATAATCCAATTTTGCCCCAACTTTGCAAATCCTAATATTTACATCAGTCTCTATGTCTGGTGCGAAAATGGACAATATCGGTCTACTCTATCAAGTACCTCCCCCACAATGGGTCAAAATTGTCAATAATAACAAATCTCATACATGTGATATAAAAGTCCGATTGTCTTCAAAATTTCACATATCCCAATAATTTTAACAACCCAAAGTCTGGTGTTAAGATGGATTATATCGGTCCACTCTTTCTGGTACCTCCCCCACCAAAGGTCAAAATTAAAAAAAAATGTTTTCTGCACAGAATGGGAAGCAATAACCCAATTTTGCTCTAACTTTGCAAATCCTTATATTTGCATCAGTGCTAGGTCTGGTGCGAAAATTAACAATATCGGCCCATTCCATACAGACTTGGTACATCTCAATTATTATAACAACTTAAGATTTGTTATAAAGATGGTAGAGATCGGACTACACCTTCTGGTACCTATCCCACAACGGGTCAAAATTTTGAATAATTATATCTCTCATAAAATCCGACAAGCATCCGACTCTCGTAAAAATTCACACAGCCCAATATGTAATGTATGTAAAATTCACACATCCCCAGATGTATCGATCTACTCCTACTGATACCTTCCACATGGAAGGATACAATTTTAATAACAAAACGCCCACAAAATTCTGATTATGCGTCCGATTCTTTTCATTTCAATATTTCTACACAACACACAAGATTTGATGTGAAGATGATGGTACCTCCCCCACAAACGATCACAATTTTAAATACTTAAATCTCTCATACAAACAAGTCAGCGATTCCATTCAAACAAGGTACTGGGTGAGATAAATAAACTGCAACAAAGTCAAACGCCATAATTTTTACATTTTTTTTAGTTTCATTGAATGAAAGCAAAAACTGTCGGAAATAGCATCAAATTTTAGAAAAAGTTTAGATTTATTCGAATTGGTCACCTTTGGCACGAATTATGGGCTTCAAACGGCCAATGAAACCGTCACACGCTACCCGAATGTTGCTCTGCGGTATTTTGGCTCATTCCCGGCAAAGCTCTTGCTTGAGGTGATCGACACTTTGGAATTTTTTTGTGCCAACCTTGATTTCCAAAAAACACCAGACACAGTAGTCCAACCGATTAGTATCCGGAGATTTTGGTGGCCATTGTGTGCTGGAATTGAAGCGAGGAACCTCATTTTGAATGTCCAAAGTTTGCGTCCAAAATATTTGAGTGACCAAGGCTTTAATACACCCTCCAGAATATTTTCGCGATAATATTTGACATTTATTCTGATGCCACGGTCGATTAATACGAGTTGAGAGCGACCATCGGCTATTATGGCGGCCCACACCATCACCATGGCCGGCGCTTGAGTTCTGGTGGCCAAAGGTGCACATTTTCAGCTGACCTATTTGGCAAGTAAAAACGATTATTTTGTTTGTTTACAAACTGCTGGACAACGTATGTTTTCTCATCGGAGAAACCCAAATTCGGCAGTTCAACACTTTCGGCCAAGCGAAGGAACTCTTTAGCTCTTTTGAGTCTATTTTCTTTCTGTTGCGGTGTAAGGTCTTGCTCTTTTTGGAATTTCAATTGTTCTAACCCGAGTTCATTTTTCAATATTTGCCTAATGGAACATTGCGATATGTTCAGCTCACGAGCCATTTTTCGGCAACTGCGAAGCGGGTCTCGATCCAGTCGCTTCTTTACTTTTTGAACCATTTCGGCTGATGTTGCTGTTTTCTTTCGTCCACCTCCTTGACGTCGGGCAACGCTACCAGTATTACGGTAACAAGCGATGGTACGAAGCACAAATGATTTATTCACTTGTAAACGCTGTAGGCTCTAACGATATCCACTTGTGGTTTTCCAGCCAAATATAAAGAAATCACACTATCACTCTCGAATTCCATCACGAATAACACTTCTTCTGGAAAATTCTCACCAAAATGGTTTTATACGCTTGTAAACAATATAATGAGCTGTCACTGGAATAATTTTAACAGCTGTCAGATGAGTGGCTTGGAAATGACAGCAGTCTGAAGTTGGTTGCAGTTTTTTCATCTCACTCTGTATATCATATAAAGTATAGGAAGTAGTTGGAATAGTCCAAATCTGGTACGTTGCAATATTTATATCAGTCTTAGGTCAGATGCGAATTGATCAATATTGGCCAACTGTTTCGGAACTTCCCCAATAAAGGCCCAACATCGAATAATCATAACTTAAGGCTGAGGGTATTCATCTGTCGGCAAAACCGACTGATACTATATTACTTGTTTTTTGGGAACAATGATTTAAATATGTATGTGATAAACAGTGGAAAAACGGATTTCTTTTCTTCGGTAACTTATAGTAAAATTTAATGAATAAAATTTTTGTCTGTGACGTCATTCCTCTACAATGATGCTTTGTTGGATATTTTTACATAAATTCACTCAAAGTACGGCCTTTACACTAACATTTCTTGTTAATATATATGAATTTCTAGCGTTTAAGTAAGATTAAGACCCTTTAGGTCTTTTAGGACCTATAGTAGAATTTTATACCAAATAATTATGTAGAACATTTAGACTTGCTGCGATTCCGTTTAAAGGGAGATTTTAGCCATATTTTAAAAAAGCACCCTTTGTTGACTTTCCTGAGGGTTAAATATACCACCAATATATTCATCGTATTTTTATGTATAATATTACCTCGGGCACTACATAGGTAAAATACTCGGATTCCGAGAAATGTTAGTCCGAAAATGTTCAAAAGTGTGGAAGAGAGTGGAAACTTGGCTTCTTTTTTACCTCTACTTTCATAATTTGTTATATTCTTTTGCCGTTATTATTTTGTGTTGCACAGTGTAATAAAATCCATTACCTTTGGTAGCGTATCTTTGTTTATGAATTATGCCACAAATTGTTAGAAGCTTTATTGGTATTACAATGCTATCCCAAATGACCTTCAGTTCAAACCACCGAGTTCAACATTTATGAAATTTGTCTTTCACCCTTCCATTTCATTTGGCATAGATCAAATAATAAGGACTATTGGCATATTTCAACTGTAAATAACAAGTCAGCAACGTTGTTTTTCCACTTTTTTTTTCATTTTTTGTGGTAGCTGTAGCAGACGTCACAACATTTACATATTTCAATCCTCACCTCCCGCGACACCACTCAACACAGTTACGAAATTTTGATCCCTGACCAAAAATGAAAATGTGATAAATCGAATGATTGATTGAATAAACGAATGGATGGTTGACTGTCAACCCGACTGCCCCAGCTGCCTGCCTGGCTGCCTCAATGAACGCTCTCTCGCTCGCTGGCTCGCTGGTTCATTGGTAATTTGTTTACGTTACGGCCAAAACCATTTGTTGCTACAAAACGACGACAATCGAATGCTGCGGTAGTTACGACAATTCGATGGTAATTTCAATGATTGCTTCCGATGGCGTTTTGCTGGCAAAAATAACCGACATTGTTTGCATGAGGTCGGTCGGTCGGTCGATCCGACCGACTGGCTGGCTGACTGGCTGACTGTCAAATGATTTATTGATTTTCGGTTGCAAACATACTTATGATTGTTTATGTATGTGTGTGTATTTTTATAAGCGAATGTTTACTGATTGTAGTATAAAGGAGAGGTGATTGAGAGACAAAGGAGAGGGATGGTTGGGGAATTACATGGAAAACCATTGGGGGTCAAAAACAACAGGTGATGTTTGAATTCAATTCTATTGAAGATTGATATGATTGAAATTGCTGATGTTAAACAAAAGACAGCAGCGATATAATTAACTATTTCTATTGTTTTATCTTTTAAATTGCATTTCACATACCATAAACATAGGTTTTTGTAAATCGGAACGAAGATAATGAATTTTATTTATAATATATGGTTTTCAAAATGCAATTGCAATGCTTTGTTTGGGAAATAAAAACCGTAGATCTCAGCAAAAACTACGTAACTGCATGAGCGAAATAACCCATTACG